CAAAGGCAAGTGTTTGTTTTGGCTCTTGTATTCACCACGTGATAGATGTTTCTTGTACTTTTCCCCATTTGGCATCACTTGAGAGATCTGGACATGAGAGGCATTAACATTGAGTGACCTGGGAATGCCTAGCGAGACAGGCTGACGGGCACTCGCTCAGATTCTTTCTCCAGCCTTAAATCTCCCAGTGGTGTGTCTGTGGCCCTGTGTGTGTGTGTGTGTGTGTGCGCACATGCGTGTACACACACATGTGCTCATATGTAACATCCAGTCATAAATGATGCCTACTGACGGCAGTCTGTTCAATCTTCTGTTCTTTGAAGTTTTTAGTGATTAACATAATGAAAGATGAAAAAGTAGTGCCTAAAGAAGGGCTTTTTAAGAAGTGCTATAAAAATATATGCTGCCTTGATGGTCCTCGGTGGCTAATAACAAGGGTAATTTTTACAAATAATGCTAAAATAAATGGAGAAATCTCAGCAAACTTGATTTTGTTAATAGAAATCATTTTATGGTATTTTAAGCAACATCTTGCAACTGAGTCACTTACTGGCTAAAGTGGGGGAGAAAAGACATCTTGATAATTGGATTTCAATAAAGCTTTTATTAATGTTTCTTTGATTCCAAATCAAAAGTTGAATTACTATATGGGGTTCATGGATGTGGAGAGGCAAATACTGGGAAGTACACTTATAGATAACTTAAATAATTTGGCTTAATGTGAAATTAAGTGGCACCCCTCTTTATTAGATAACTTAAGACGACTGCCTTCCCTCAAATGTATACTAATGAATGTGTGGTCCACTTCTCTACTCTTCTCCCTGCTGTTGAATGTTACTGTTCCTGTTTCTTCTTAGCTCTACTTCACTCTAATCATTAACCAAACAGTCTAAGAAAATTAGTGATCAGAATCTTCATGCCTGTGAGGATTAACTATATATTTGAAACTGATCCCCAGGAGGTTACTGGAAGATGGCGGCGTAGGAGGACGCTGGGCTTACCGCGCAGCCTGCTGATCACTTAGATTCCACCTACACTTGCCTAAATAACCCAGAAAACCGCCAGAGGATTAGCAGAATGGAGTCGCCAGAGCCAAGCGCAGACTAGAGGCCCACGGAAGAGGGTAGGAAGGGCGGCGAGGCGGTGCGCGCTCCACGGACTGGCGGGAGGGAGCCGGGGCGGAGGGGCGGCTCGCCGGCCAAGTAGAGCCCCGGAGTCTGGCTTGCAAAAAGCGGAGGGGCCTGACGGACTGTGTTCCGACAGCAAGCGCGACTTAGCGTCTGGGAGG